AAAACACGAAATGAAAAACAAGTCGGTATAATTACATTTTCGGGTTTTGAAAATATATGTAAAAACACCTTTCGCTGCGCAGTTTCTTGGTTAAAATATAGTCAGACTAAATTGTTTAAATGTTTTATGAATTAGAAACTTTAAGTAATGTAGAGAAGTATATTAAGTGGAAAATAGTTTGGCATTTGTATGACGAACGTTTGCCATAAATATGTTTGCAGCTTTACATAAAGAACAGTATCTTATATCTAGAATTAACTTGTTTTCCTATGAATATCATATTTATGCAATAGGAAAGGTTACGCTTAACTACAAAATTAATAAAAATAAATATCAATTGATTAAACAATTTTTACCCTTTGCTTTTTTATGCATGTATATACAGGATTTCTAAGGATAAATAAATGGGCTAAATCTTTTAGTCAGCCTCATTAGATGTAAGTCATCCTAATCAGCCTCATTAGATACCATTCTTTAAGTTTTCTAGTCAGCCTCATTAGATGTAAATTTCATCATTATGTTAAATATTATTTACCAAGGATAGTAGACAAACAAGGTTAGGTTCTTCATAACGTTGATATCACTGACTTTCAGATTTAGGAGACACTTTCAGAACTTTCAGAAGCTCAAAGGAGTAGGTAATGGCACTTTTGAGACGATTGGAAATCAGTGAGGTCACGCGAAAGCAAACCTTGTGAATATGACAACTTTCCACATCGCTACTACTTTCATACTACACTTTTATCATACTAGCGATCACTGGTAGGGTTAATAAGAAGTATTTTAATTTTCGTTACAATTTACTTTAATTTTTTCCCGTATTTTAAATTATCAATAACAAAAGTTTTTCAAATGTTCATGTAATCACACTTTCATTTTCCGGAGGCCAAAATTATTACTCATTTTTTATAGCTCTGCAATTAAATTTCCTTAGAAGTTTCCAAAATTTTTCAGTATGGCAATCCTGCAAATGACGTAACTTCTATTTTTTTCTTATCACAGGTTAGGGAAAAGACTAATACAAGCCCCGCTTTTCTTCTTTTAACCAACTTCCGCGTGAAGCAAAACTTGTATTCTGCCATAGTAGCCATAATTTGATGAAGTTGGACTGAATTCTAACAAAACTGTTGTCAGCGATAATTTCCTGCTTATTCGTGCTAATTTCGGCATTGGACTTTTACATTTACGATTAAACTATATAAATTAGTTTCTTCCAATATAGCACCTTAATTACATAAGCTTATTATCTGCATAAAACTGCATAGAATTATTTCTTGCAATATAATATATTAGCTGTGTAAAACTGCATAAAATTATATTCTTCCACTATTTTCTTTGATTTCCTTAAAAAATAAATTATCGGAATAATTTTACAGTTTTTTTCTTTATAATTGTTCATGTAATTTCTTCTTTTTCTCTTTTTATTGCCTGAAAGTAATTTCTTTGTCTTTCAGGTATATATTGAAACACAATAATCCTAAATCATACTTTCACTGCATAAAACAAAAAAGTTAAACTAGGCATATTTTAATTTTATTAACTTACTTCTATATGAGACAGTAAAGAGAGATATTATTTTTTATTAAAGTAAAATAATGAAATATTACGTTTTTACAAGCTTCACCACTATTAGTTTTAGAAACTGTCCTTACATTTACTTCTATTGCATTACTTCTATTAGTGTATATATATATAATTTTCAGACACGAAAAGTATGTCTGTATATATATATATATATATATATATAATTTTCTCTGTTTCATTTTTATTATTAGGATTTTTTCTTCAGCATTTAAACTGTAATTTGATCTTTTGCCTTGTTAGGCATATTTTAATTTAGGATTTTACTTGTATATTATCATTTTCAAATTTTTGTCTATAATCAGTAGTAATTGCTTTTTTCAGCATTTTAGTATTTTCATGGCTTAGACAACTGAAACAAGTCGGGAAAAGAGACAAATTCAGTGAAACTGTTAATTTCTTTAGGTAAATTAGAAATTTATGTTTGATTATCCCGTATGAACTCTCAGTGAATTTATTGAAAGGAAACTTGTTTTAGTTGAGATACTTAATTAACTTGGTTTGAAAATTCAAAAACTGGCTGGAACTACGTAACGTGGCCACGAGTGGCAGAAACAGGCTCTGTCTTACAGTCTAAAAACCTCAGATTAAATACTCTGTAAATCAGTTTACATTCTGGGGACGAAACTGAAAGGAGAATTTGTAGTGAAATCTAAAATTATGAATAACTGATTTAAATAACAAATCTTACACACATATATATAGGTTTTAATTCTGTTTAATATATATATATATATATATTAAACATATATACATATATTAAACATATATATATATATATATATATATGAAATGATTATAAAATGCATAGATGAAAACAGTGGAGTTTTTAACAGCTTAGATACTGCGTAGATGACCGAGAAGACTGTAGTAGCTTGAAGATGGCAGAGTGGAAAACATGATGACGCAGTTTAGCACAACGTATCTTGAAAAATCACAATCTGTATTATTTTCAAACCATCCTCTTGCAGATAAGATATTTCCTAATTATATTTGAATGCAGTGAGTTCCAATTTGAAGTACGACGTCATCTTAAGCAAGTAAGCAGCAGCATAAATGAAAAGCGTCTTACCAGCAGCAGAGCTTATGCGAAAAAAAGGGGGAGAGTGTCATAGCACCTCAGAGGAAGAAGGGTGGGAGTCGAAAAAGTTTCAGTTCAGAGTTTTGAATTACAATTAATTTGATTGGACAAGAGGCATCTGCGTTAAAACGTTACGTAAGATAGAACAATCCGGAACCTGTGAAAATTGATGAATTTAGGGGCAGATCACCGAATTTAAAATGTTAATTTTGAGGTCTTTGATTATTTTTTGAAACAGCTATCATATTTTGTTATATCTTACATATATGTGTGGATGGGTATATGTACGTGTGCATGCATGTGTGTAATCTCTACAACTAATTGTATTTCAAGTTGTTTGAATGTAGCATTTTTTAAAGGATTCCCTTTCTAAGTGTATTTTTAAATGTATTTTAAAATCTATTCTAATCGACGTATCAGATAATATTGATATTTTTTTTCATCTTTATTGTTATAGTACGCTCATATTTATTGTTTAAATTCTCATATGTATTATCTGAATCAGTTTTTCTCATGATCAGTCTTTCCTTTTCCTCTTTCTTCTAGAAGAATATTTGTACGATAACTAGTACCTTGACAGAAAATAAAAAGAATTATTATAGGTTTTTGGAAGATTTCTTTTCCCTTGATGAAGAGGGACCTATACCTGTCTGCCCTCAAAATCGATAGTTTTTGACTAAACCTATGCCAAACATAAGGTTGTTGCTTTGTTGATTTTATATTATCTTCTTATGTTATCTTCTTATGTTATCTTCTTATGTTAACTATGATTATATTAATTCTTTATGTTGCCTATTAAGCACGACAACTTAGCTTTACAGTCACGTAATAGCGCACGGGAATTCATTATTGAATCAAAGTAGGAAGTCACATAATAAGTCCAAAAGAGTCCAACATTTCGCTTAGTGGAAGTTTTAGCAATAATTGCTAAATTTGTGCCGTAACAGCGATGTGGTATCTCATGAGACAGATAATTTGATATCTCATCACACTATAAAAACCATCATTCAAGTATTATATAAAATAATTAACTAGGTTGTCAATTCGCTTATTTTCAAGGTAGGAACTATGGAAATACACATAATGTAGAAGATATATGGCAAAAGGTAAATTTCAGTAATATCAATCAAGTTAAAATAGTATATATTTTTTTAGTAGTTTTAATTCTGCTTAACCAGGTGAAGGATCTATCATTATTTTTAACTAATAGTTAATTTTGAGTTAAAGTACTTTTATGTCGCTCTCTTTTCACACACACACTTTTCACGGCAGAATGTAAATAAGCGAAGGTTTTGCAAGTTGATTTTATAGCATGTTCTGTCTGCATGAAGCCACATTGTTACGGTGACTTAATAGCGATTTGATTCTGTGGCGTTGAGTGCTTCAGCTATAAGGTTTGTCTCACCGGTTTTCTACAAGCCAAAGAGTGCTTCGTTGTTGAGTGCTTCGAGAGTTGAGTGCTTCAGCTATAAGGTTTCTCACCGGTTTCTTGCGCGTTACCTTATGCTATGCCTATACCTTATGCTATACCTTATGATTTTACTACATTTCAGTTTAGTTCAACATTTGTTATTTAAGTTAAGCCAGAAGTGTTCGCTTCTTTAAACCCAAGCCGGGTCATTTTTATTTCTTTGTGTTCAAATAAAAGAGTTAAAAGGGTCCTGTATATCCATCTTCTGACTTTGTTTTGTATCATAAGATTCAAAGATAATTTTTCTAGAGTCTTTTTTATAGCTCGTTTGTGTATGCTTTCAAAGAATACAGCAATATTTTATTTTACCATAAGTCAAAGATGTCTATTAGTTTATTTAAAAGATTAAATATTCATTCGTAGAAAAACCGTAAGTTTCTGTATGTTACACAGAAATAATTTAGATTTTTAACAGTTCTAAAATACTGGTGAGAAGATTTCAAAATCTTATATATATGCACGTACGAGAAAGTATTTTATACAATAAAGAAAATTAGATTTCGTTTCTAAGTTTGCACAGTTGTTCGTATATTACAATTAAACATTCTTTATCATCATAAAAAGAGTTTTGCATCGATTCTTAAATCCCTATCGACTTCTGGCATCTGTTAAGTGTTGATCTGATATTTAGATCTTATAACATCATAAATTCTTACTTTTGATATACTTTTACATTTTTCTTTTTCTAGTCGTAAGATAGAGCTGAAATTTAACTTTCATAAACTTGGTCCTTTATGTATTAGTATATATTGTAAACTTTAATACGTTTTGGAAGAAATGCATCAAATTCGCCTTTATGGCTTTGCAAATATAATGTATATATATATATAGTCGTATGTGAACTGAATGAAGAGGAGGAAAACCTACCTTTTTACCATCGAGTTCGTGAGGCCCATTTGCTAGCACTTTATCTACACTGTCAGGGTCTGCAAACGTCACGAAACCGAAACCCCTGAAAAAAGAAGGAAAATGAGATGAAATACAATTACACAGCATTCACGTACCTTCACACGCAAAGCAAAATCGACATTCTTTTCTACTTTCTTTGAATCTGACTAGATGTTGCCATGAAACAATTCATAGAGAAGATTGTCTTGAATTAAGTAACATAGTTCGGAACAAGGTGCATTGTATGAAATATTTTATTTTTGCATCAAAATTTAAATTTGGTTGACGTTTATTATTCAGCTGAAATTTCCCGGTTTTGATAAATCTGTGAATGTTTCTATAAATCTCTGAATCAGCTGTCTCTGCTTTACTTAACCAAGTCACGTAAGTACTGCTAAGTATTGCAACACAGAAAATATTTCATTTCCTATTTTAGTACTCTAGAATTCAGTATTATAAACCTGTAGAAACTGAATAATACAATTTCATCATAGAATATTCTGCGTTTCGTTTGCTGGTAGTTTAACACCAAATTTCATTAAATTAAAAAAATATTTAATCTAAAAATTTTAGAAATTTCAGATTAGATTCGAACACGTATCTTTTAGTGAACTCAAAACGTATAATAGAAGATTTTCAAAATATTAAAAAAATGTGTTACCATTTTAATAAAATAAAAAACTACGTATACAAGATATAAAATTTTTTTTAGTTGATAATACAAAATATTTCACAAATGATGAGTTTTAGGAAAAAGTTACACATTATTTAATTTTGATTATTTAGAGATTAATTCGAAAGTGAATAATAAAGTGGTATTATGGATGTTTCATTTTGAGAAAGTTTTCGGAATCATTTGAATATCAATACATTTTTAAAAGATAAACATTTATATTATATTTGCAATTGTTAATTCTCGCAATAAATAAATTCTGTATGAATAATGTTTTTAGTTTCGCGAAAAATTTCACAGATATCTAACAGATAATAGTGACAACAGAATGCCATCTATTCCACAGGCAACGAAAATCAGAAATGCAGAAACATAATATCACATAATTCAACTGGATTACTTTAATAAAGATTAGTAATGGTAAATTATGCCTCAATAATCACCTCGTTGCATCAGTAACTAAATAATGACCACTTTGTGATTAGAATCGCAGTTTGTAGATGGGCATAAAAAGAATTCCAGATAATATTTTCTTTCTCTCAATATTGTTTTCTGAAGAAAGCATTTTCGCAAATCATAGTGAAGTAAATCGGCATAATGTGAATTACTGGTTTGGTTTATCTGTCTAAGGAGAAGGATGCCTTCGTGGAGAACTTTGTAAGAGAAATTGACTCGTATACAAGTTACACATGCCGAAAACCACGATAACGCCCATGGCGCCAGCTCGTTCACCTGGAATTGAAACCAGGTCGAAACTACCAGTGTTTAGCGATATTACCGCACCCCCGCCGTGAATGACTGGACTGTTCATTATTTACACTGGCTAAAAGAAGAATAAAATAACTGACTTTAATTGTTATTTTTATATGATTGTTTAATAAAGTTGAAAAAGGATTTGCGTAGATTATAATATAAATTCAATAAATTCAAGCTAAAAATCCTTTTTTAATATTATTAATTATCAAAATAAGCAAAAAATGCCTTTACTTTAGAGATTTCAGCTGCCTATTTTACCAGTTTTTGAACAAGCTTTTCCTTTACTTCCTCGTTTCCCACCTACGATTCCGCACTAGAATGAGTTTTAAAGATTGCGTTTTATGTTAAATGAGGTAGAAACCAGTATTTAAGTTGAAGTCTCGGTTGTCTCACTAGAAGAGTCTGGAACAGCATTAGGACAGAGTGTTCTGCCGTCGAGCCACGTTGTTGCTAAATGCCTAATCTTATTATGATTCGGCCCTATTGTTATGCGCCTGCTAGTATTCTTCGGTAATCTTAAATAAGAGCTAAATGTTTTAATTTAAAATTTAAAATGTTAAGATCTTAGTTAACTCTCTTAGTTATTTCTGTGTAGTTAGGCTCGTTTTAGTTTATTTAGTATTTAGATTAGTTTCTTATTTTATATCTTGAGTTAAAGCCCAAGTGGAGGCTTATTGTAAGCCCTAGAAGGGGAACTGGAATAAAAGGTATATTTAACCTTTTTTGGACTCTTACTAAATAGAACTATGCGATAAGTCGCTACACAGTTCTTCGATATTCTAGTGCTCAATAACTTCCAATTTAGCTAGGGCAATTACGAGCTCATTTTAATGACAATATATGTTGTATCAGAGACTTTTTTTCATTGTCAGTACTCTAGCGTTCAAAATCGATTTGTATAATATTACAAATATATTAATTATTAATATAATTAATAAATATTACTTATTTCCCAAGTTTTATTCTGCACTTAGAATTTCATTCAAGTGCTACGTAAATTTAGAGCAATCTGCAGTGTTATTAAAACTATATATTCGCTTCATAAAAATTAAAAATTATCGTCCAAACTTAAAAAGAAAGTAATTAGTAGTTCAACACTATTCTAATTCGGATCTTTTCTCGATTTCCATGTATTGGATATTGGAGAAATGCTAATTAAGTGCTCTTTTTGATGTTATTCATATTTCCAATTTCAAATCATCAAAGCTGAAGGCAAAAGTTTTCATAATTCTTTTTCAAGTAGTGCATGAACAAATCACAAATCGGCCAATTTGGGAGATGCAAACGTGCTTTGGAAATTATTTTTGCAACGGAGAATGACAGCACTCGCCTTGAACGATAATTAATTATACGTAGGAAGAGTTGAGAAAGAATATTTTTAAATTTCTGGACTCCTTTTCTGCAACAATTGGTTAGAATACCTGCGGAAGACGGTTTACAATATCTTGAAAATATTTTGCTAAAAATAATTTTGGTAACGCAAGCTCAGTAAATAGTTTAGGAAATATAATTAGTTAGAAAGTTCGTATCTCTGAAGCCACACGAAAGTGTCTATTGTAACACTGTAAGCAGATTATTTCAACATTTATTTTAAACAAGATGAAACATTTTATCAGTATCATCGGATTCTTATGGCTTGTAGTTGATGAAATTCTGCCGAAAGGATGATTGGCCTAAGTACTGAATGCATTTTGCGTGAACTTGTCAACAGACGATGTCTATTGCGAACGCATCAAATAAATTTATGGTACACACATGGCAACACTAAACGAATTAAAAATATCTATTTAAAGAAATTGCGCTCAAATCTCTACATATAGTAAAAGAAAGAGCATGTGTGTCTTCTGTTCGTACTGCGCTTAAGCTAATAGATCCGGGGCTACGAAATTTGGTAAATAGGAGCATCTAGACAAGAGCCAGTGCACCTCGAAGCGATTTTTTCAAAATTCGAATCAGATTTCTTAAAATTTTATCTTTTCGATTTTATCGCATTATTTTGAATAGTTTCATTCTTTTAGATATGTGGTTTCGGCAACAGTTTTTCATTCAATTGTATACTGGAATGCTGACTGTTTAACATCAACACTGTTGCCACTTGGAAAACTGAGGGGTATAATTCTGTGCAGTTTTCTAATTTAATGTTTCTTTTGGATACTGGACCTTTGTTGAGAGAAGGCAAAGGGAAGTTGGTTAATTTATTCATTATGATAATTAATATTTGTATTGAGGGATATTGCTTATTCCATTGTAATTTTGTTATACGTATGTAATACTTTTTTTTAATTTGTGAAGTTTTTTTTATGAAGTTGTTCTGCAAGGTAAAATTCTGCGCAGTTTTTAAATTTAACATTTGGTATTCCCTCCAAGCATTTATTCGGTACATTAAGAAGTCAGACGAAGGGTGGCAGCGTAGCTGCTAGTACAAAATAAAAGCATTCGTAATGTTTACATTTCCAGTAATCAAACAAATCAGCTTAAACTAAAATAGAATATTTATTGGCTCGGATATGCTTGCACTAAACTTTTGCTATTTGTATCTGCCTTTTTATTTCGGTTTCAGAAATTTAGATACATTTTAATATACAGCATACGTACAACAAACTTGCTGAATTTCTTATAAAACGACCATCGTTTTCCAAACGGCAGACTCGCGCAAAAGAATGTTGAATTCAAAGCACTTTGCAAAAAAGATGCAGAAATTTGAACTTCTTGGAAAAAGATATGAAATAAAGGTCAGGATAGGACATATTGAATACAAGTAAAAATACTGTTTTCTGTTATTCGACAATTAGAAGTAAGTTTACGTTTTGTTCAATAATTTTATTTTCTAATATATTTTCGGTTTGTTTAGCTAATTAGGGCTCGATTTGGAATTTTATGTGCAATTAATTTATGGAAATCTCTTAAGAAAAGTTTTAATTTTCTTAGTATTAAAAGTTAAATGTTCACATAATCAGGGACGAGCCATTCTTTGAGTTTTGTTTAAATGACAATTTGATTTAAAAGTCTCAATCTTTTACTCATTAATTTTTAATTTTTTCATATTATGCCTTGGTGCAAAATTTAGTGCCAAATTTACGGAGAAATTCAAAATTTTATCTTAGCGGATTTTTTGCAGTTTTCGCAAAGCATAATTTACTTGACGAACTTCTTAATTTATAGCAACCTATTTTCCTTTACTTTTTTTCATTGTAGACGAGAGGGGAAAAAAGTCATCGTTCATACATTCAAATAATTTCAACAAAGTGCGTATTATCGTTTGGCGTTACTATCGCTCAAAACACCATACCCAAAAATTATGATAAAAAAACGGATGCCAAATTTCAAAACGCTCTAATATGTTATAAGGTATTTCTCCCGCCTTCTTAGCATGCCTTCGTGGTGTAGTGGTCAGCACGCTCGACGCGTAGTGGACAGGTCTGTGGTTCGAGTCCCGGCGAAATGCTCATTATGGCCTTATTTTTGTTGAAAAAAAAAAAGATGCCAAATTTCAAAACACTCCACTATGTCAATTCATGTATACCTTAAAAAATTTTGAATAAAAAAATCTAATTTTTTGCAGGTGTGCCTAGAAATACATCTTTTTTAAGATTATATTAACAATTTTATAGGTTATAATAAAATTGTTTTTCGAA